CACACCCACACCCACACCCACACCCTTAATGGTGGCTAAAAATCAAGTAATTATTATTAACAGATCTTAGAGACATCGCTAAGAACATTCGCTAGACGCAATCAGGATGAGAGTAGTATTTCATATTGCTTGATTATAGCGAAATTCAAATTTCAAAAAAGGATAGTATTAGAACTCTATTTTAAAAGATGATCTACAAGAAGTCGTAAGCTTGATCTCTAGTTTCATGTAGATAATAGATTGAAAAAACTCAGGAAACTACCTGTACAAATCTCAAAATATGTTGTGATAGATGACATAAGTTACGAATTATCAGATATAAATTCAATGAAATGATTAATATTTCTAGTTGTTAATGATAATATCCAACTTGTAAAAATGTGGTTATCAGCAGAAGAAGCGACAGTATTAGACAATGCGTTGATTACTATGGAACATTTATATAAAAATGGAATGGTTGATATTCATTTACGACATTTAACAAGACAACAGTCCTATTATGAGATCAGTTACTCAATAGATCGTGTTCAAGCTGATATGGAACAATTAAGAAATGAAAACGACAATGAGGACAATGATGGCATTGCAGCGAAAAAGATTGAATTTCATCTATCTATGTCGGATATTGACGATCATAAACGACAACTGACATTCTGTAATGTTGATGGTCAACAATATTTAATTTATAAAAAAGCTTTAATTGATGAACAATTGAAAATATTAGAAAGAATTGAAAATATCTATCGTATGTTTAATAAATTAGAATTAGTCGGCCATCCAGATTATCAGTTACGAGATGAACATTATGATATATATCTTCAAGAAGGTAAGATAATTATGTTCCTCGATGATCAATAAACTTTGTTTTTTTTAACTTGCTTACAGTCCAAGTTGGATCGATGTTCACTAATTTACGAAATCATCCGAATGCTCAACTGGAAAATGCTGTGCAGCTTCGAATTCAAAGTTTGGAATTAACATACAATACTTTGAAAATTACGCATACCATATGGATAGAAAATCTAAAGAAATATCGTCAGGAATGTTCACTATTAGAATTATTTTCTAATCGTGAAATTATGATTTTTATTATTTTACTTCGACAATCGGATGAACCACATTCTATTCGAAATAAATTTTTAAAAAAATTATTCGAATTCAGAGATTTCAATAATCAAAATGAAGAAGAACAAAGATTGAGTATAGTTTTTCTTGAACATTATCTTCGTTCATTAAGAATTCCACAACTAAATTTATCATCAGATCATCTTCGGGAACTTTGTCGAATTTATAGAATCGAAGTAGGATTAAATCCCGATGCATGTTTAAAAAAACTAGCAGGATTTCTTCAAAAAGTATTCGAAGAGAATAATCCATGCTTGAAACGAGAACAAATGCCTGGTGAAAATGAACAATATCTTATTAGTATGAATCGTCATTCACCCACTATAAATCAAACATCCTGTGTACAAGATTTTGATCTCGATACTTGTTGTATCCTTATAAATATCTTTCAAAATCAATTACCAGCTTCCTATCAAATTCTTTGGTGTTCGAATACTACAGAACAAGATATTCAGTTATTTTTTTCTCGTATACGAACATTTACTTCTCTTACTTTTGTTATAATGGATATTGATAAAATGCATCATCGTCTTCGAGAATTACTATTAATGGAACAAGATTCATTAACGCGTGAAAAATATAAACATGCTCGAGTCTTTTATTTTTCGCGCGATTTAACAACAGGTCGAAAAGGTCTACGCCAATTTGAGATACCAGATAAATACAAAGATGTTAATCAAAGTTATCAACATCTACTGAATCTATTCAAAGAATATAATTGCGTACCACCAGAAATCAAAGTAATTTATGGTAAAGCAGGCATTGGTAAGATTTTTTCTTTCAAAGTATTTAAGAACAAACATTCTTTCACTCTATAATTGCAGGTAAAACACATCGTATCAACAGAGAATATAAAACTGATAATACATCATGCTTTAGTATAAATGATAAATTAAATCTTTCATTATTAATTAATTCATTTCTATCACTAAATTTGAATGTAATTAACAATGATCCATCGATTTTTTTCAATATATCTGTTCAAGCACCATTTGAAAGTTTAAATCGAATATTATTTTCTCTTTTTATATGTGGATGTTTAAATGATTCAAACAGCGGTCTAGTATTTTGTTTACCACATACTCATACATGGAAATTTATTATTGAAGTTCCTTATTCAGATCATTGTGAAGTTAGTCTCATGGAAAATTACAAGAAAATTTTACCGATTCTTTCTATTATATGTCCATCAACATTAGAAGAAGTCACGGATGAAAATTATAAACTATCTATTAATGCAGAAGAAGAACTTGTAGCTCGATTTTTAAAAGCATTTGAAGACAAAACAATCAATCGTATAGCAGAAATAACAACTACTGGTCAAGATATACCTATAAGTTTCGAACCTATAACTGATACTGATGAATGCCGTACATATATATATAAGTGTATTCGAAAATATGCTCCAAATATTCCAAAAAATAAAATCTATGAGCTTTCAATTGTAAAATTTTTATATCGTCGTGTACAATTCTTCGGAGGACAGTATTATTGTTGGAATCAACATATTCAACAATTAGGTACTATTGCTATGCAACAAATGATAATTGAAGCTATATCTTTATCAAATATTAGTTTTCAAAATAATAATTATCCTCGTGTTTATCTTGTTTATGATCCTGGATTTTCTCTACATTTATTACATACCGATTGGAATTCTGTTCCAAGTGATTTAAAAAGTCTTTTTAAGAATCGTGATCCAATAAAATCTGAAGAATTTCAAAATAAAGATTATTTTGCTGAATGTTTAGCATGGTTAATTGATATTAAATATGAAACATTTATGAAAATTATTGATGAAACAAAATTTATTCTAACAGAAAATTTTGCTTATAAACTTTTTCATGTTCATGAACGAAAATTAACAAAATTAGCTTTAATTATTGAAGGTGATACCGGTGTAGGAAAAACATTTCTTTTGAAATTCTATTCGCTCTTATTAAATTCAAAAAATACAAATGATCCTCTTCAAGGAAACATCTATCCAAGAATTCTAGAAAATTCTCATCGTTTTCTACTAGATATTATTAAAAAAAATGTGGAGTCACAACCAAATATATTAGCTGCTTTTCTTCGACATATTCAACCAAAAATTTTAGATCCTGAAAACGATGAAGAAACTGAAGCTGAAATTCTTAATCAACGACGAATGTTATTACCAATATTACCAGCTGCACCAGCACAACAACAAAATGATGGACCAACTGATGACATACTACTGAAAGATATAAAACAGTCTTTAGAACAACATCGATTTAATAAAAATATTTTATTTCATATTTGGAGAACGACTATGAGTGTTTCAAATGAAAATCCTACAATATTACACGGTGATCTAATTAAGAGTTTATATGATTATGTTACCAATGAATTAGTCAATTATCCATTGATTAAAAGTAGCTGTCGACTAGAAGAATTACTTCAAAATTCTGTTTCATCTAGTGTTGAAACATCCATTGAGATATTCAAAGAATATTTATTTTATAGTCAAACGAAACCATTATTCTATCGTCTTCTTTTACATCCTGGTGTTAGTGAAGAACAATTAATTGAATTTATGACTCCAATATCTCAATTAGCTCGTGAAGTACCTCAAATAGAAATTGTCGTTTTCTTTGATGAAGTTAATACAGCTTCGTGTCTTGGTTTATTCAAAGAGATGTTTACGGATGGAACGTTACGTGGTAAAAGTATTCCGAAAAATATATTCTTTACAGCTGCTATTAATCCATATATAAAAATCTCAGAGAAAACTCAACAAGTTCATCGTACTGATTATATTGTTCATGAGTTACCACAATCATTAAATTATTTAAAAGTTTCCTACGGAGCTTTAGAATCTAAAACATTAGCTGATTATATTTTTCGAAAAATAGCCATGTTTCAAGTTAATTCAACAACAAATAGTGAGAAAACAATGCCATTAGATCTTTACGTTCAAGAAACATTAGCTGATTCAATTTTAAAAGCACAAGAATTTTGTGAATATTATCTAGGTAACTATTTTATTTTTAAAAAGCTGAAAAAAAAAATTTTTTTTTGTGTTGCTTCAAAAATTACATCTACTTTTAGGACATAACTCTGTCTCACAAAGAGAAATTCAACGATGTTTTAATTTAATTAATTTCTTTTGGGCTCTACGATATGATGATGAATTTAAGTTCGATCAAAAAACTTATACACCCAATCCAATTCGATGTATTGCTTTATCACTTGCTTTAACCTATTATTTTCGACTTCCTACAAAAGAAGATAATTTACAACGTAATGATGACAAATCACCTTCACGAGAACAATTAGCTGAACTTCTCTCGGAATGTATAGCTGATTTTCAGAGTATTGTTCAGCACGAACTTGAAAAATTCGTAAATACCAATAATTTTGTTATTCCACAAGGAGTAGCAATAAATCAAGCTGTATGAATTCGATTTGTTAATTGTTTCGTGAATTCATTGATGTTTATTATTCTAGGTCCGTGAACATATTTTTTCTATCGTCGTCAGTATTGTCACACGAACAGCACTGTGTATTATTGGTGTTCCTGGTAAATAATTTATTCTATTCTGAAATGAATAATTTTCTATTAATTTTACATTTTTGTATGAAAGGTCAATCTAAAACATTATCTTTTCAAATTGTTCTTCAAAATTTACAAGGTACACAATTATCGGCAAAACCATTTTGTAAACGTCTTCCTGCTGTTGATCCATTTTTTTGTCTTGGATCAAAATATAGTTGTTCAGAAGATATTGCTTCTGTATTTGTTCGTGCTATCAAACGTGAACAACAATATGAACAAAATCATATGAATACACGATGTGTAAGTTTAGAATGATTCATTGTAGAGATGGAATCGGTCTGGATTTTTGAACGCTTTTACCAGTACTGGTCCAAATAGATCAGATCGGACCAGTCGGTACACAATTTTTATCAATAAAAATTCTATCTTTCGGATAATGATGGTTGAGGTAATCAAGCTCCACCGAAATTTTCATACGTATTCTGTACAAGATAGCATTAAGATATCGCAGTTTTTAGCTAGTTTATGCAATAAAACCAAAAAAAGAAAAAAGATAGACTGGATCGACCGATAATCCGTACCGGTTCCATTTCTGATTCATTGTGTAACGCAATATTTGTTTATTGAATTTAAAATTAAATTTAGGTCGTTTTTTTGGATGAAGCCTCGTTACCCGATGAAAAGAAAATGGTTTTAAAAGTTTTACATCCGTATTTAGACGAATGTAAAGTAGCATTTGTTGCTGTTGCTAATAAAGCATTTGATGCAGCTAATGCCAATCGAATGATTTGTATTTATCGTTCATTGCCATCTGCAGAAGATCAAAAAGTCTTAGCCTACGGTTGTTTGGGTTTACAACTCGAACAAGGGCAATCAACTACAGATAATTCTCTCGATAAAATTATCTATGGTTTATGTCACGGTTATCGACAGGTTCTTCGTTCATCCGATATACCTCATATATTTCATGATCGTGATTTTATATATATGCTAAGAGAATTAAGATTTGAATTGATGAATTTAAATGAAACTGAAGAAGCCAATATTAGAGAAATAACACCATTAAGTTTATTAAGAGCGTTAGAAGATAATTTCAATGGAGTTCGAGTTGAAGAATTCGACAGACTAGTCGATATTTTTGCTACAGTTGTGGGAGAAAAATGTTATGAATTTCGATCATTAATCGATGAAAAACAACAATGTCGACGAAATATTCCAACAATTTTACGTAATTCAATGAAATTAGCTTCAGCACGTCGCCGTCTTTATGGTAGATATAAATTAATAATCGATGAATCCAATGATGAAAGTGCCGTTCGTCTTCTCTTTCAATGTGGTATTCTGAATAGTGATCCAAATCAAACAACAGTTTTTCGAATGTCTGATTTTCCTGATGATATCGATAATGACTTAAGACATGTTGAAATTTTGTCGAATATTAAATTATGTATGGAAACAGGCAAAACTATTCTAATGATTAATACTGGTCGTATTCATGGTGCACTTTATGATGTTTTTAATCAAAATTTTTCGATAATGGCTAATGAAGAAAGTAGAAAAACTTTTTCTAAGGTAGCCATTGGTCCAAAAACAGTTGATGTCGTTGTACATGAAGATTTTCAATGTATTGTTCATATAAAACGAAGTGAATTTAAAGATATTCCAGCACCCTTTCTCAGTCGTTTTCAAAAATATTCTTTTAGTATATCCGATTTTTATTTAATTCAACTGCGAGAACTTTCTAGTGAAGAACAAAAACTCATGAGAGATATCGAAATGAAAACTAGATCGTTTATTGATCACTTTGGAAAAGAATATTTTTATGGATTTAATAATGATACATTATATTCATGTCTTTTATCATTAATTAAACGAAATGTTCAAGATGAACTTTATTTATCAAATATTCATGAAAATTACAATCAATTAACTATTCAGTCAAAAGCATTTATTGAACAAGATATAAATAATAAAAAACAATGTTTTCTTTTTTATATTATATCAAAACTACTACAATTAGCATCACCCGAATCAATGATCTTTAAATTACCTACATTTGACGAAAGTACATCTCGTTTATTATGCCAAAATTATTTTTATCAACAAGAACACTTTAATATAGAAAATTTCCTTGATCGATTAATATCGACTAGCACATCAGTTATTAATGATAATGAATTAAATATGAACGAAAATATTGAACAAAAACTCAGTAATATCAATATTACAAAAAAATTAATGATATTTACTCGAACATCATCATCTATAATGAGTTTAAATAAACAAACAAAAAATGATTTGTTTCGTAAAAATGATGAATATGATGGGATGGAACATGTTGGCGACAAAGTCAATATTGTTAATCTTGTAAGTCATGGATACGATTAAATTCTTTTTTAAGATATTTTTCGATCGAAACTAAACTAACATAAGAATAGATGTAAGTTTCACAATCAAAAAGAAAACATTCATGAAGGTTACTGAAATATGAAAATGATTATTGACTAATGTAATATTTGATATTCCTACAATAAAATGTAATATCATAATGAATTCATACGAATAGAGACCTTTGAAGTAAGAAAATTTTCATTTTCGTGAGCCTGATTCAATTTTGACTAAGCAATTTCATTTTTCTACTAAGTTCGTATCTTCACAAGCCCATAAAAGATTAGAAAAACCATATGGTTTTAATCTTTTCTCTTGAGAGAAACTTGTGTACGTATATAGAAAACAATGAGATTTAACTGATTCGTGTACGCTAGGAATAGTTACTTATGAAGAGAAATGGTTCTTATTACTCTTGATTATGCAAGAACGTGATCGTATAATTTCACGTTTGGAATTATTACATAAATCAATGTTATACCTACCAGTTCTGTACGAATTTTAGGTATTGGTCCCGATCACAGTTGACAGAAAGGTCCGATCGATCTTGTTCATGTTTTAATCTGTCATATTGGAACTTTTGTGAAACTCACATATTTTCGAAGAAAATAGTGAATGTAAATTTTAAGTTCGAGCTTTGGGCGGCTCCTCCTCTTCTCCTCTCCAATCCAGACATATATCAATGAAGAAAGAGAACATTATAGAGAAACACCCGATTCCGGACAGGTCACCTTACTGGGTTCAGCAATCGCGCATGAAAGGGTTTAGATTTCGTGAAAGACGATCTGAAAGGAGTTTTGAAGTGTTTAGGGGCAGAAATGTGAACCTCCCTCCTTTCAAAGACCGTGGCAGACACTCACATGACTCATCCCAGACCTAGACAGACATGCTTTTCTTAGATAATTTCACATAAACTGTTCGCAGAATTAAAAGGGCATTAAAATCTTTGTATTGATTCTGCATACTGTTTGTAGACGATTTCCGTACAGTGTTCTCATTTTATTTTGTAGAATTTAATAAAAAATATCGAAAATCCTAAAATACTTCAATATCATAACAGTTACCTCTGTAAAAGAAAATTTTGGTTTCATCATTGGTACTATTATCGATGCCAGAATATAAGGCATCTGGTTGTTTTTTGAATAACTTTCGATAGGAACAAGGTAGAGACCTGCAGTTTTCACCATTTGATAGAGAACAGACTTGAGCATCCAGACAACTCGAATTTCATTGGTCCAATAAGTGATCAATCAGGTTAATTTCTTGATAGAACTCTTGAGAACGAGATTCTAAAGAAATTTTCTATTAGACTTTGAGCTGTGATATCGCCATCCGATAGAGAAATTCGTTCTCTCTCCATCTACGCAAAGCCGAGATCGATAGCTCATTCCGTTGAAGAGATGGGTGGGTTTTGAAAAAACTGTAGATTTTGCTAGGTTGACCTGTGAATACTGGAAAAACTGTTTAGAGAGGGGTAGTTGATCATGCTAAGTCGAGAGGTAACGTTTATTTTCGATTTCAAAGCGATTTGAGACTTCTATATGAATATTTTAATGCATCATCTGTTTAGGTTCCATAGCAGGAAAATATAGAATTTTAGAAATCCTATCGAAGACATCTTAATTCGCTTTGAAATCGGAAATAAACGTTACCTCTCGACTTAGCATGATCAACTACCCCTCTCTAAACAGTTTTTCCAGTATTCACAGGTCAACCTAGCAAAATCTACAGTTTTTTCAAAACCCACCCATCTCTTCAACGGAATGAGCTATCGATCTCGGCTTTGCGTAGATGGAGAGAGAACGAATTTCTCTATCGGATGGCGGTATCACAGCTCAAAATCTAATAGAAAATTTCTGTAGAATCTCGTTCTCAACAGTTCTATCAAGAAATTAACCTGATTGGTCACTTATTGGACCAATGAAATTCGAGTTGTCTGGATGCTCAAGTCTGTTCTCTATCAAATGGTGAAAACTGCAGGTCTCTACCTTGTTCCTATCGAAAGTTATTCAAAAAACAACCAGGTGCCTTATATTCTGGCATCGATAATAGATACATCGTGTTTCACATTTTTAATCCTGCAAGGGATTGCGCTAGCAGCTTTTATATAACATATCAATGCTTGAATAGATATTCGAAAAAAAAAACTATTTTGCAGTTTAAAAATCAGGCATCACGATAAAAAGTTTAAGAGATATATGTGAGTTCCACATTTCAGCTCCCTTGGAGTTGCGCTAACAAGGTTTTTTCTAATAATTTTTTAACTGGTATCCATCGGAACTGCACTGATAAGATCAAAAATTTTCATCTAAAGAGAGGTGTACCAGACTCAGTCAGTTTGTATCATGCTTTGCAAACACTAATTATTTCTGAAAACATAAGGCCGTATATAATGAGAAAAAGTCGACTTGCGAATCGGCAACATTGAAGTTGTCCGTAAACAGTAAGATAATTCTGTTTTATTAATACTTAAATAGTCAAAAGCAGCAACAGATTTTTAGTAAGATAGGTTAGATTTCGCCTTCTGTTACAGGTGTATGCATAAAGGTATAATTTCCTGAAGTATTCTAGATATTTAATCTACTTGTTTCAATGATACAGATCGTAAGAGAAACGTATGATGTAGGTTGATTAATAGATTAGTTGCGTCATTGAACAAGACAATGTACTAATTCATTCACCCCGAAGAAAAAAAAGTACAAGTGGAACATCGTTTGGTCACAGTAGGTTACTATGAAAGTGATAATTCATGTTCATGACTTGATAAGAACTAACCGAAATAAAATTCACACGAAATTATTTTATCTCTAATAATAATTATCTATTTCTCTCCGTAAAATGTGAATAAGAATAATTTCTTTTTCCTGTAATAATTGCTACAAAATCGAATAGATAATTCAGAAAATAGTCACCAAGTTATTGATTTTAATCAACGATTTAAAATCTCTGAAAAATACAAGCGAATGTTTTCTCTAGTCGGCCCTTTGATATCTTCTGTCTCGCATTCAATTTTAATTTAATTGTCTTCATTGCGTTCTTCATACTAAGCGTTGCCCACTCTAGAAATCCTTGAGCTTTGTATTATGAGCCAAACTAACAATCCAATTTGAGTTTGAATGTTTATGAAGATATGACTCCCACACCTTAATCTTTTTCAAAAGTAACTCCTTGACCAATTGAAAATTTTTTTTCTAAAATAAGAAAATTACAAAGGCAGAATAAAAGTTATGCTATTTCACATACAGTACCTTTTCTTCTTATGAGTATCTCGACGAAAAAATCAATTTTTTCTTATAGGCAACAATTGAAAATTCCATTGAGTTAAATGACCAATTTCGAATGTTCGAAAAAGTCAAGGAAAAATCAATTCTTATTATTGTTGTTGATGGTCGTATTAATCAACAACGTATACATATTCCATATATTCGACAATTAATTGATACAACCGATCTTATTTGTAATTTTTCTCTTGAAAATCCATCGAAATATTTCATTATTCTAATGCATTCATATGGACAAGAACTTAATTGTAAATCATCCTTTCCTTCAATATTCTTGCATGATTGGGACTATTGGTTTCTTGATACAACAGCACTGGGTAAAGGATTTCATTTACAAAAAATGTTGCAAATTTTCACATCCAAAATTGGAATAAATGATCAAAAAGAAATCTTAGATAATGCTTTTTATGATTTAAATACTCTTTTTGATGAGTGTCTCGCTGAGTTTTGTTCTCGTTTACAAATTAATTTTCTGAAATTGTCTTGTGATATGTTTAATGATCAAAATGCTTATGAATTCTATCAACGTGAAACTTCAACATATCGACGTGTACAATGTCTAAAAAATATATTTCAACAACTTAATGAATTACAACAACGTATCATAATAAGTTATCATGAAAATGTTTCAATGACACAAGATTCATTACAAAAAAATGGTAATTTGATTTATGAACTTTCGAAAGATACATTATGTGGCAAGCTTTTAAACGGTTTAGTGGATTCTTTACATTCACACATAAGAATATCCTTTGGAAATTTTACTTCATTTATTTTGAAACATGTTGTTGATGATTATGGCTTAGAATCATTAACTAAACTATCGAATAACAATGATGATTATAGTAAATTACTTGAATTAATCGATTATTCATCATTTTCTGTCAATAATCAAAATCAAAATGATCATAAGATGCAGAAAATATTAATATTGTATGATCGTTATTCCTACGTTCCACAAACTCCACTCTTTTATTTATTTCAACAGCGTCTCAAGAATTTAGCAGATGAAATCAAATCTAAATTGGCAGATCAACAAAATCAACTAAACGGTTTGACAGGTTTTTTTCTTTTTAACATTTGAAACAAATCTAAGCAAAAATTAGTCCTTAACCATTTACGATTATTGAAATGAAATCACCTGAAGCACATTTTTCTTAAATATCTTCATTAGAACATATAAAAAGATATTTCCTAGAACGTTCTCATTCAGAGATTTTTGTATCGAACTGATATCTACGCAGCAAAAATTGATGTTGCATGTGAAACGAAAGACTGATTCGTATATCATACAGAACTTTAAGAAGGTTTCCAATTTTACATTGAATGTGAAATCTTTCTTAAGTTTTATTTCATAATGTCGAAAACTTCTTAAAATTTTGCACCTATCTTAGGTTTTTATGAAACCATGAAAATTGTTTCAATTTCGTTACAAAAACAGTTTCGTATGACAACTAATTCTTTTCCAGTTTAAAAATTATATATTGTAAGCCGGAGAAAAAGAAACAAAATAATTCGAAAAACTTCGAATTTAAAAATGATAAGTTAATTTATAATTTCAATCTTTGATGTATAGTTTTCAAAAATTGTAAACATTTAAATAGTTGATTTTTTCGATTATCATGATAATTGACAATATGAGATTACTAGCATCCTTGATATCAATGTAGAAAACTGGGAAAATAATGAAACTTTTTACCAAAACTTGATTGCTTAATTGAGAGAACTAGTCATGAATCTTTTCTTCATAAAAACGAAATATCGAAAATAATTACTATTAATTCTTTTTCGATTACAAACTGTCAATAAGGAAGTAGACTATCTTTTACTCAGATAAATTTGTAAAGTGTTTTGAACTTCAACTTATCAGTAAAAATTGATTGATAGCCATACTAACCATCTTTTACTTATCGTTCAATATATCATTAATTAGGAAATATCTAAAAGACATCTAGTTAAAGTAGTTATGTTGCAAAAAATAAAGGAATGCGCTCGTCTACTTGAATACGTAGAAATGAAAATTCTGTAAGAATTGCTTTGAGAGATACTTAGAATATGATTTTTCTTCTAAATCCTAGCCTTATTATGCCATTTTTAATTCATGGAGCTAACGTAGATTTGTGCACAAAACTTTCTTCAATGTTTGAAAAGTGATACATTCCGTCTCTGACTGATTAAAATTTATTGCATGAATCCTAATCTAGCTTATGTTAATCAACATAAATCTATAAGTAACATATTTAAATCGTAGATTTCAGACTACAATACTTTTCAACTTTTCTTTGACGAAATATGAATTTTCAGAGCTACACATTTTTTTTTCTTTATGATATTAAGAATGTTTTGCAAACAAATGTCATCAGAAAGATGAAAGCCTTTAATTTTATTCACAATTCTTTATCAGACGGGCATTACTCCTCAAAACTCATTTTAAGAGACACTCTGCAACTGGAAGGCAATCCTTGTTCAACTTCAGAAATCCTTATTTCATAAATTGTTAAGAGAGGGTCCGCGAGAGGACCTATCAATTTTACGTGGAGCCGG